GACTCCGTTATCACTGGAATTGCTGTTCTTGTCGCTAATCATCCGGAGGGCGCCCATCACTGTGTCCTTCAATATGATAATATCCGCGTCGGGAACCGATTGCTTCAACTTCTGCGACACGCGCTGCGAGAATGTCTCACTCTTTGACAATAAACTACCGGTGAATCCAATCTGAATGGTATTGCCCTCGGCTTTGGCGCCGTCATTGCGCAGCCGACTGACCAGACACTTGATGTCGTTGACGAGATCATCGATGGCGATGTCTAAGACGCGTTTGGCGACGGCGTTGCCCATGAGCGCCACTTTGATGACCAATTGGGCCAAATCGGCGATCTCTGCCTTGGAGGCCACCACCGACCAGCCCACCAGCTCGTAGATGGACTGCAGGTTCAGGTGTTTGAGCAGACAGTTCATGAGCACCGACCGGTCTTCGTGCGGTTCCGTGTCATCCGGTGTGTAGTGATTGTATTCGTAATCTTTTAAAGCCTCTCTCAATGCCATGTGTGAGATAGCATACCCTGAGCCTCTATCTCCTGCCGAAGTGTTATCAATGAATTTCATTAGAGTTTTGTGTATTGTTTTTTAAGTGCTTTTAAAGTGGTTTTTCAATTCGCTTGTCATACAAACGAGTTGTTTTTGTGGCGTTAATTGGCATACCTATGATGTGTCCGTGTCCTCCGATCTTAGCCGTCTTGTGACCGTTGTTGCCATAACAACAGCTCCCGGTGCCCGATATGACTATGCATTTGATGGCATACTTAGTGTCGTCGATACATGCTATTAGGGATTAAAGTATTAATGTAATTATGTTGTTGAACACGGATGTGATTATAGGGTGTTATAATGAATTACATTTTGTTGATCACAAACCTAATGCAGTGTCCGTGTCGTTGCCCACCCATACCATCTTCAGATTAGGCCATACCTTATCCACGGCTCGTTTCAATGCCTTTTAAAAGTTTTATAATTTAGTCAAAATTTAATATTTATACCAAATATTAAAACGTATTTTTAAAAAATTAAAAATATTATAAATAACTTAATTATTTATTAAGTTTAAGTGCACATTTTAATTAACTTGATTAAATATTAATAAAATTAATAAACATTAATTTCTACCCTATAAGAATACCCTGGAATATGTGTAGAATAAAAGCAAAATATATGCTAGTACCTTTTTATCCTGTTCACCCACAATACCGGGCATTCCGATGGCGATCCTATCGATTACATATTGAGCAGTAGTGGTCTTAATATCATTGAGGAATGACTCTATTTGTGTGGGTTTTAAAAGTTTAAAGTTTGCGGCGCCGAAGTGGAAGCGCTTAAGACTTTTGCGGGAGTCATCACCGGCACCGACATATATGGCCACTGTATTCGTGGCACCGCTTTCTATAGCTAACGACATATTGTTTTATTTTACACAAACTTTTTCCTTCGTAAACAAGTCTTTAATAAAACACATTAAAACATAATTTATTAGTTTTTTTCGTTTAAATATATTAATTATTATAAGTGTATAGAAAAGTTGAGCGCAATTTGTGTTGTTATAACTTTTTTATAACACAAGGTGTATGGTAATAATGAAGCCGTATATCACTTACTGCTAGTGTGTATTCAAGAATATTTCATATGATATCAAATGGTTTTAGTGAATAACCTTTCATTGAGTGGAATATTTATATATATATTATATTTATATTTAATCAAACATTTCGTTTCTAATGGCACTAAACACAAGGCTATAAACAGACACTTTTTTTCGACGCTTTCACTTCGCTATCAACAACTCGGGTTTTTATCTCAACTTTTTCGTAACCAATGTTTGTGCGATTTTTGCATTATTTTTCTCGCTATTAACACAAAAATGACAAATTCTTTCCACATATATGGCTCTGTTTTTGTCAATTTTTTATATACACACAGTATTTCAAGAATTATATTTCTTATCGATAGATACGCTGTGAGAAGTATTTGCGATTAGCGAGTATCGATTAGTTTTTATTACTGTCTTTTAAGACAACAAAAAATAAAATATAAATTTATGCAAACTTTATTTGAAAGTTAAAAGTCTAGACGTTTTTTCGGGCAATTGTTTGACTGGTTTAGTCGGGAGATTATGGCCATAATTCATATGATCAACAAAATTAATGTCATTAGTTTGGTCTCGGTATGTGTGATATGACTGTCCCATCCAGACAAGGGTTGGCACGTATTATCTTATGAGACAGACTCTGAACCCAAAGAGTAGAAGTGTTTGAAGCGAATCACATGAAGAGCCGTTACTTTAAGTGCAACTGATTTAATAAATTAGTTTTTAAAGTACTCGCAATGAATCAGAAATAATTTCATTACAATCTAACACTAATCTCGAAATGATTGTGTGGTTTATGAATCGAAAACATTCATTGGAAACAAACAAATAAACAATTTATTTGTATTGAATGTATGTGTTTATTACACAATTTGTTAACATTTGTTAATCATAAGAAAAATATTTTTGAACTTCAAAATGACCTCTAATTCAATGAATTTATTGATTCAGTAGTGAATTGATAAGCAAAATG